TGTATTTTGGTTAATATCTGATGTTTGCATGTTACCACCACACTCCCCGACTACCCACAAGACGGACGGACGGACGCTCGAGTATAATATATACATTGTTACCTCACGGGCAAACGGAAGACAATAACGATACTGAAAAAGGATTAATTTAGACGTTTAAAATAGAAAGAATTGGGATTTAAAAGGCTGATGTTCTGCGGAATTTAATGTTACGTAATGCTGACCAGACTGCAGAGTTTATTCATAGCGTTTGTTTATCACCCCCCTCCGCGTCCCCCTACCCCTCCACCCCTCCACGTCCCCCTACCCCTCCACGTCCCCCTACCCTCCACTTTCCACGTACCCGTCCACGTCCCCTCTATCCCTCCACGCCCCCCTTCGTATGCTATCAACAGTTAGTCAGCGCCTCGGTGTAAACTGTAAGTGAATCCTGTTTGGTGACCACATGTGCTGACTATGAGCCACCACCACAGTGACCACCTCTCTTACCACCACGACTGATTACGAGCACAACCACTATCTCAACCTCCGTTACCACAACTCCTCTCTCTCGTACCACCCACCACAACTACTACCTCTCCTACCACCATTACAATTCTAACTACTAGTACAATACTTCCACTATCACCACACCACCTCCTACCACCACTACGATCACAAACACCAGCTACTCGTACCTCACCCATACCACAACCACCAGCACCACGTCCTTGCCAATCTGGGTGACCTTCACAATGTGGGAAAGTACAACTCTGGCAATTTGGACGACACTAACCCGGAAGAATGTGACGTTTTGTTTTGTATTATTATTATTATTATTATTTATTTTTATTATTTATCATTAGTATTATTAGTATTGCCGTGTTTATGGAAAAATAGAATTATCTCCACGGAACGAAAATAACGAACTGTAAAATCACTTAAACTTACAACACTCTCCTCTGTTTTAAGCTTAAGTGAGCACAACACTTTAATTACTCTCTTCTATATTAAAATAATTCTTTTAGTCTCTTAGTTATGCAGATATATTGTAAATTGTTTGGATAGACTGCTCACTCTTGGTCGGTGGGAGACGAGCCTATTGAATCCATTTTAATTTCATTTTTTTGCTAGTGTCTTATCCATGTGTGGTATTTATATTATGCCTCCACTGTATGATGGGAGGCATATTGTTCGTGTTTGTTTGTTTGTGTATCCGTGGAGCCGTGTGAGTTTGTTATTGCATTAATGGAGCCGTTTTATCATCAAACTCGCAGAAATATAAATAAACACACCCAGCAAACACCCACAGCAAACACCCACAGCAAATAAAAAGTGAGGTTAGCCCAGCAACAAGGGAGCCTAACCGTGACAAGGCAGGTCCACACACACACACACACACTTCTGTAACCATACCGTCAACATTAACCAGACCACAGGTTGGCAAAAAACACACGTATGCGGGCCTGACGTGCTGTGTCTGGCCCTTGGGGACTCGTTAGGTCATCGGGTTGATTTGGTTAGGTTAGGTCAGGTTAGGTTAGGTCAGGTTCAGTTAGATTAGGTTTATTTAGATTATTTTTGGTTTATTTGAGGTTATGGTCTATTTGGGTTAGGTTAGGTATATTTAAGGATGGGTTAGGTTAGGTTTGGTTTAAGGGTGGGTTAGCTAAGATAGTCACGGCGACCCAGCGAACACACCTCTAGCTTCCTGCTCTGAAGATCACCGGTTCGCACACCCAGCACCCTCGCCACCCAGCACCCTCGCCACCCAGCGCACTCGCCACCCAGCACCCTCGCCACCCAGCACCCTCGCCACCCAGCACCCTCGCCACCCAGCACCCTCGCCACCCAGCGCACTCGCCACCTAGCTGTAAATCGTTCCCTATCCTTTACAGTTGGGGAAATTGAGACCGTCAAGTGCAGTGTGTAGTGTACCCAGTAAAGGCTTAGTTTAGGCTGCTGTATCTAGTTATTCAGTGGTCTACTCAAAGGTCTACACTTCATTTCTGTGGGGATACGGGGATCACCTGAAGAATCGTCACCCCAGAGTTTGGCAGGGTGACCATTCTTCAGGTGGGATCGGGACCCTCCATGGTGGTTATTTATGCCTAACCTAACCTAACCTACCCATTGTAATATGCCTCATGTATTTTGGAATATCTATATTATGGGCTAGGGTGATGATTCTTCAGGTGGACACTCTGGGGTGACTATTCTTCAGGTGATTCTTCTAGTGTCTATAGGAGTCGAGGGTAAGTTGCCAGACACTTGATACTTGTTGGTTAGAAGGGGGATATTGCACGTCATGGTGTGTAAGGACCAATCGGCGCACGTCATACCCGCATACGTGTGGTTTTGCAAGGGGGTGAGAGGTGGGGCTGACAGATGTGCGAGGGTGAGGTAGGAGGAGGAGGAGGGCGGGGTGGGTGAGGTGAGAGGTGGTGGTGAGGTAAGATGAGGTGGTGGGGTGAGGTATGAGGGAAGGAGGTACGGAGAGACACAAGCCTCACCTTGTTCTGCCTCACCTCGTCTCACTTGGCTTCGAGGACATCAGCCCCGCCCACTTAAAGCTCCTTCATGTTTGTATTGCCTCACCTCACTTAACCTAATAGCACCTTATGTTTACAATCATTGCGCTCATGATTGTGTTTATTTCAATACTCTATGACTCCTGATGCTTTATTTTATATGAATTAATACATATGTATATTTTTAAATATTTCTACAATTAAGTATGACGGTGGAGGGAGGTGTAGGCTCGTCACTCAACACATGACCTATATATGGCTCATAATTAACCTCGTTACTTAAACTGGATCTTCTTGCAAGGCTTGTGGCTGTCCCTCGGTGAGGCTTACGGAACTAGCTTTCACTTTGCTGTCAGTCCTCCGACCTGAGACTCGCGAACCAGTGAGAGACATCACACATTGTTAGGCCCATTGATGACACTTTGGACCTGATTCACAGGGTCAGGAGTCTTGGGGTTCATGGATGGGACGGGGGACTGACTTAACTTCCCGTGACTGTACATAACGCAGTAACATTTTGAGCCGTGCCCAGATGAGGCGCCCGGCTTGTGGCTCACCCCGCTGCCTTGTTTATTCCTAGAACTTGACTAATTTGGTAACTCACTAAGAGTGTCGTTCACCGGTACGCCCTCCGGAAATGACTGACGATACGAGACCTAAACAGCAGCAGCGTCAGCTTAAAGATTCTCCAGTGAACCGTCTGAGACGTGACTTAAGAGTGGGAGCCTTGTTAAAGCTGTTTCTAAGGAAGCTTAATAAACAGACAAGACTTGTAAACAAACTTATATGAATCCAAAAACCAACCCATAGTATAGGTATACAAAATTACTCTCGACCGAAGCCTATAAAGTAAACCCTCGTACACTCGACCGAAGCCTATAAAGTAAACCCTCGTACACTCGACCGAAGCCTATAAAGTAAACCCTCGTACACTCGACCGAAGCCTATAAAGTAAACCCTCGTACACTCGACCGAAGCCTATAAAGAAATGTAAAGTTTTTGCTTGTTGATCTGTGTCACCATTACTTGTTCCAGTGGATTTGACCTCTGATATCTCTCTCTCTCTCTCTCTCTCTCTCTCTCTCGCCTCTCTCTCTCTCGCCCTCTCTCTCTCTCTCTCGCCCTCTCTCTCCCCTCTCTCTCTCGCCCTCTCTCACCCCCTCTCTCTCGCTGTACGTGCGTGTAGCCACATGGAGGGTGAAGGAGCCCGCATAACATTGCCACCCTGCAGGACGAGACACAGCACACGTAGTCGAGGGAGAAATGTACCCCACCAGTGTGTGTGTGTGCATACCTATCTTCGACGCCTTAAGTCACGCACATGAATTCATGGGAAAGTTGATTTTTTGCTTATTAAAGCGGGAATAATTATCATCCTCGGGAACGATAAAACAATCGTGTGTATAGATCTGTTTGTCTAGAGTCCGTGTGTTTGTGGTTCCTCGTTGTATACAGGAAGAACCATTGAGGGCTGAGATGTTTGTCTGACAATCTGACGTAAATATTTCCCCTAAGGCCACCAGGGTCACGTTCCAATATGAAGGTCAATAAATTATAAACATACCCTGGATGGTCCACCTCGAGTCTCGGGCGCTTGTGATTTTAACCCTAACTACAGCTGTATCACTAACAAGATCTCACATGGGTTTAATTAGCAGTATTTTAGTCATTACCTGTACGAATTTATGGCGCCTTGACCTTGACGGATTTGGCCTTATTTTACTGTCAGTCTTGTTAAAAATTACAACCTTTCCCGATGACCTCTTGCGTAGTCTTATTGACCTCTGACCTTGGTTTACTTGTGGCTAAAGGTCAATTATCTTCTCTTATAAATGTGGATACTGTTTCATAAAGTTCCTTCATCGCCTTTCCAGTGAATATGATCTTGACTGCAGATTCACACACTCGCCAAAAAAATTATGCACAATACGTATATTCTTTTGAAATTTAACATTTATTTTGGAGTGAAACTTTCGTATTAGGACCAGTTAAAATTAATAACCCTACCTGGTGTATATTTTGAAACCCGTAAACATTACCCAGAACTGTTGAATATATTACTCAACGGTTATTACTTAAAACTTTGTACGTAATATATTATTCAGAATTGTAGAATAATTAGTATTACTTAGAACTGTTGAATATGTATTATATGTTCAGGTTCATCTGTAGATATATAAAGCATATATATTAATTGCTGTAATGTAAGCTTAACTGTGACTTAACTGGGCGCTTTTCCATATAAAATTTTATTGACAGCAATTAGCGTCTTATACACGAAGCACAGATGTACAGTAGTATAGTGAAGTATGCTTATAGCTTGCTTGTATAATGTATATAATTTAATTCTATATATACAAGTTCTTTGGGATATATTTAATAATCTCTAGAGTGATATACTAAATCTTTCAATTATAGAAAATGTAAGACTAATTTTGACTTTATATTTCCTCTCTCTCCTCTTCCTCTCTGGGTGTGGTGATGGTGTAGATCCAACACTGACAGGTACGTAATTTACTTTGGCTACTCACTGGTAAGACCTGCACTGTTTGTAAATTTACAGGTCTTTTTTAAACTGACCAGTAGAAAAGAGCATTGATTTTAGTTTTTCTTTTTTACTGTAAATTAAAAAATCGACCTTTGTTTTATGTGCTTTGTGTTACTAAACAAAAAAAAGTCACAAATTTGTACAACCTTGCATTGATTTTCATTTTTTTTTGTGTAAATTTAATCTTCGTTTTTTGCATTTTCTTGTTGGAAACCGAGTGTTATTAATTTACATTTTTAATTTAAACTGAAAGTAATTGTATTGATTTAACTGGTTTGTTTTGTAACAACGTTAAATTATTGCATTCATTTACAAGGTTTATTACGTTAAAGGGTAAGATAATGTTGCATTTATTTACACTACCTTTTAACACTGAGCTGTAAAAAAAATTATTTGCTCGTTCTTTTATTTTTTATATTGCTTCAAAGAGAAATAATGAACTGAAGATAGCAAGGGAGGCGAAGACAAACCCCAGAGGATTCTACCAAATGTCTCAAACTAAAACACGAGATAAGATTGGACCAACACGTTCAGATACCGGCGAGCTAACTGATAACGACGGAGAAATGAGCAATAATCTGAATAAATATTTTTCAACAGTTTTCACCACCGAAAATTTAAACATGATACCCGAGGCACCGACTCTATTCAGAGATAGTGAAGAAAACAAATTAAGTGAGATAGTAGTGACTAGTAATGTTGTTAATAAGCAAATAGACAAACTGAAGCCTAATAAGTCACTTGGTCCCGATGAGATATTTGCCAGAGTATTAAAGGAATGTAAGGAAGAGCTTAGTATGCCATTAGCAGAGTTGTTTAACATGTCATTAAAAACAGGTGTAGCACCAGAATCCTGGAGGATAGCGAATGTAATACCGATTTTCAAGAGGGGGGGGATAGATCACTATCCTCTAACTACCGCCCAATCAGTCTAACATCAATAGTAGGCAAATTACTAGAATCAATCATTTCAAACTCTATTCGAAGCCACCTGGAGAAGCACAAGTTGATCAATGATTCCCAACATGGCTTCACAAGCGGGCGTTCATGTCTAATTAATCTATTAACATTCTTTTCATCAGTTTTCGAATCGGTGGACGAGGGGCACAATTATGATGTGGTATATCTCGACTTTAGCAAAGCCTTCGACAGAGTCCCCCACGAAAGACTAATTAGAAAGGTAGAAGCGCATGGCATCAAAGGTAATATCCTTAAATGGATTAGGGCATGGTTACGGGACAGGAAACAGCGAGTGAGCATAAACGGCACTAAATCTCATTGGAGCAACGTCACTAGTGGAGTTCCCCAAGGCTCAGTACTTGGACCATTATTATTTATTATATACATAAATGACATAGATATTGGCATAGACAGCAACATAAGTAAAGTTGCTGATGACACTAAAATAGGACGTGTAATTAAATCTGACGAGGACTCTGCAAAACTACAAGAAGATCTAAAAAAATTTTTCGAATGGTCTGAAAAATGGCAGATGAAATTCAATGTGGACAAATTTTAAGTATTTAGTATAGAAGATGTAAACAGGGAAACCAGTTACCAGATGAACAACGATGCCATTGTGGAATCCGACTGCGAGAGAGATTTAGGAGTAATGATAAATAGGAATCTTAAGCCAAGTAAACAATGTGTTTTTGCTCGTAACAAGGCTAATACAGTACTTGGGTTCATACAAAGGAGTGTTAGTTACAGGACTAGCGAGGTCATCTTAAAATTATATCTAGCGCTTGTGAGACTTCACCTGGATTACGCAGTTCAGTTCTGGTCACCGTATTACAGAATGGATATAGAATCCTTGGAAAGAATCCAGAGGAGAATGACAAGACTAATCCCGGGCATCAGGAACCTTGAGTACAGACACAGGTTAAAGCATCTTAATTTGCACTCCCTCGAGAGACGTAGAGTGAGGGGCGACATGATAGAGGTGAATAAATGGAAGTCAGGCTTAAAGAAAGGGGACATTACAAAGGTACTCAAACTATCCAACCAGGAGCGAACTCGTAACAAGGATTTCAAATTAGACAAATTTATATTTCGTCGTGAAATAGGTAAACACTGGTTTGGAAACAGAGTAGTGGATAAATGGAACAAGTTACCAAATATCATCATTAACTCGAATACGCTGAATAGCTTCAAACATAGGTTGGATGCTTATATGAGCAATAGGGGTTGGGTATAAACGGGACTGCCCAGTATGGGTCAATAGGCCCGCTGCAGTTTCCTCCGTTCTTATGTTCTAAACTGTTCCATGGGTTTACGCGTGGTAGTGTAAACCGCTTCATGGTAATGTAAACCGTTTCATGAGTTTACACAGCATGGTACTGTAAACAGCTTTATGGGTTTACACAGCATGGTACTGTAAACAGCTTCATGGGCTTACACGGCATGGTACTGTAAACAGCTTCATGGGTTTATACGTTGTTACTGTAAACAGCTTCATGGGTTTACACGGCAAGTACTGTAAACAGCTTCATGGGTTTACACGGCATGGTACTGTAAACAGCTTCATGGGTTTACACGGCATGGTACTGTAAACAGCTTCATGGGTTTACACGGCATGGTACTGTAAACAGCTTCATGGGTTTACACGGCATGGTACTGTAAACAGCTTCATGGGTTTACACGACATGGTTGTAACAGCTTCATGGTACTTTATGTGGTACTGTAAACAGCTTCATGGGTTTACACGGCGTGGTACTGTAAACAGCTTCATGGGTTTACACGGCATGGTACTGTAAACAGTTTCATGGGTTTACATGGCATGGTACTGTAAACAGCTTCATGGGTTTACACGGCGTGGTACTGTAAACAGCTTCATGGGTTTACACAGCATGGTACTGTAAACAGCTTCATGGGTTTACACAACACGGTACTGTAAACAGCTTCATGGGTTTACACAGCATGGTACTGTAAACAGCTTCATGGGTTTACATGGCATGGTACTGTAAACAGCTTCATGGGTTTACACGGCATGGTACTGTAAACAGCTTCATGGGTTTACATGGCATGGTACTGTAAACAGCTTCATGGGTTTACACGGCATGGTACTGTAAACAGCTTCATGGGTTTACACAACATGGTACTGTAAACAGCTTCATGGGTTTACACGGCATGGTACTGTAAACAGCTTCATGGGTTTACACAGCATGGTACTGTAAACAGCTTCATGGGCTTACACGACGAATAATATAAACCGCGTCATAGGTTTAAGGGGTTTAAGTACATCAGAGTGGATAATATTTTCCCCGTTTTGTTTGTCCCTAATATTTACAGATAATACAACACATGCTTGACATAGAAGTATTTGTGTTCCTAATACTGTATACATGGAGAGTGCGTGCCGTAACAAACGCGTAGTCTCGTTCAAGATTCTTCGAATACTGCTGGAGACAGCTGGCATTCAAGGCCGTTTGTTTACTGTAGTACGTAGTAGAATATAATACGAAACAAAGCCCAACCATTACTGAAGCAACAGGGAACTAAGTAACCAATCACCGATAACCTTTACATTCATTCATAATTTTTACTACGTACTATAGTAAACAAACGGCCTTAAGTTGCCAGCTGTCTCAAGCAGTGTTCGAAGAATCTTGAACGAGACTGTGTGTGTGTAATTACAATGAAAATAAGTGATGATGATGAATATTCTAATTTATTGCCGTGAAATTAGAAAAGTTAACATAATTTCCAGTCCAATTCGACTTGGATAATCCCCAGTAACAAACGTCTGTATTCAATAATAATAATAATAATAATAATAATAATAATAATAATGATGATGATGATGAATAATGAAGGAGGTTTATACAATAACAGATTATATAGCGGCACCGACCAGTGGATTTCATGAATCATAATGCAATGCACCGTGACTCACTGTGGTAAACCGCACCTAAAATAATATCCCCCACGCGGAAATCGTCCACCAGTTGGAAAAGGTAGGGTAGGGGAGGTACATTGTTATTGTCCACTCCCCGCTGTCTTTGGAGGGGTAACCTGGAATGCTCGCCCACCTTTCCCGTTCGTCCGTCTGTATATCCTGGAAATAATTATGAGGTCAGGTGTTTGTGTGTGCGGAGCCTCCTTTGTCCTGGAATTAGGAACGACCATAAATACTGTTAACCCCGCTCCCCTCCTCACCCTCACTCAGCGGCCCCTACTCCATAGGTGAATTTAGGTACATTATTCATTTTAATTTGTTATTCCTAATCATTTAAATAGCGCTTCAAACTTCTATCTCTTCATTCGGCTCGAGTTTTGCAATACTAGAAAATTCGTTACGGTTATGGGTTTATCAAATTGTCGTGTTTGAAAAGTAAAATTTAATTCATATTGGTGTTTAAACCATTAATAACGATAATAAATAAGGCCTCAACAACAATATTAACACGTTGTCACTGTGACTGGGAGTTTAGTAAGACTGACCTTGCTGTAATTTGAGTGCAGAATAATCAGTTTAAATTTGACCGTCCTGTTCTTGAGTTCTCACGTTATGTTGTTGGGACGACAATTGTTCTTGTTTTATATTAGTTTCTTAAGGCCTTCGTCATTGAATTACTACACTAACCATATAACCTTTGTAAACGTAACAGTATCTCCATTAATGCGGTTTCTTCTACAGGAAAATCGTATTCAAAAGTATTCTCTCGTGTCCAATTAATTAGTAAAGCTATTTTTTCTTAACAAAATTCTAGAAGTAGACTTGATTACATTAACTGAAATTAGATTGTCTACCCTGTCTCCCATTTATTTACTGTTTTCTTATTTTATCTTTATTTATCTGGAGATCATAATTCCTGCTTTAGTTCGGTATTAATTTATTATATGCTATTTAGGACTTATATTTCATGGTCATACCCAGTTAGTGACAGAGTGCGTCTCGTAACGTTGAGTGCATCTGGTGCTAAGTGACGCAATAATGGCCCGCTCACTGTCATGTGATAACCGCGTGTGTACGTGCTTTTATGTGTTTATAATGTGTGTTCTGTATGTTATATGCAAGTTTGTATGTATACAGTACCTGAAGAACTTTGCTCAATGTGGGGATAGTTTGAAGATGTTTCCACTAACTAGCATATTATATACAGTATATCAACAAAGATTATTTTTAATTTTGTTACCTCGCGACAAACCTTGGAATATTGCGATTATCTTTAAATATGGTAGAAGTTCGTAGTACAATTGCGGAAATGCTTCTCATCCCCAAGTGGTAACCTGTCTCTCCAAACAGCCACCTTGTATGACCTATAGCAAACCTATCCACCAATGACGTCCGTTACACGACCAATACCCATTCATTCATAAACAGTGACACTACTGTAACGTGCCGTTTGGAGGCAGGGGTTACCACAAGGGCGTAGGAACACATTTCCGCAACTGTTCACTGTATATAATTAACTTAAAAGTACTCTCGTAGTTGTACAGTCTTCCATACAACAGGTTCATAGTACACATATTCCCCTTCCGCCTCTTAACTACAGGAGGCTGTGATTATGACAGGTCACCCTCTACTGTGTATATATATATATATATATATATATATATATATATATATATATATATATATATATATATATATATATATATATATATATATATATATATATATATATATATATATATATATATATATATATATATATATATATATATATATATATATATATATATATATATATATCAAGTGAGGGAGACCCCGTGAAAGACCCACCGTTGAGGACGTCTATTAAGATGTAATTAACTCTTTTTGAGAGTCACCAAGCCGATGAGGGGCCTCTATGTGGGGTGATATAAGGATTATAGGGGACAGCTGCCCGGCTCCCAGCACCCTATAGTAGTTCACATTCTTGTCTTACTACTGTTAATATTCCTCTTAACCGAGTAGAAGACCCCTAACATGTTGACCATACTTCAGCAGAAAATTAACTTTTATCCTTCTTATTTTCGGAAAGAATCTATATATTGATTTTATTCCTTAACTGGTACTTCAACCAATAGAGTACCGTTCACATATCTTAAGGTTGGCGACCACAGTCCTCCACTGTAAACGGTCTCGGGCTGTTTTTACCAAACCTCCAAGGTCTTGCTTGTATTCACTGTGGACAGAGTTTTTAATTTCAGTCGTCCACCTTATTAGTCTGTGCCATCCCCTGGCCCTCCTACCCACAACTCTGCCAGTTAATATTTATTATCTCCCCATCCCTAGTTACAGTATATGACCAAAGTATCATTTTTATTATTTTTCTGTACATTTAAAGTATTTCTCCTGAAGTTTTTGCTAATCTTAGTACTTCATTTGTTTTTATGTCAGTGTAGCTTCCTATAACACCGTGTTTCAAAGGCCTCCAACTAGGGTTACTGGTTGCCCGAAGTTTCTTCTGTCCCGGGATAACACCAGTCCTTGTCCCGGGATAACACCAGTCCTTGTCCCGGGATAACACCAGTCCTTGTCCCGGGATAACACCAGTCCTTGTCCCGGGATAACACCAGTCCTTGTCCCGGGATAACACCAGTCCTTGTCCCGGGATTTTTTCTTCTAGACTCTGGAAATATGGAGTTGCAATTTAAGTTTCTTAGTGTAATTGGAACAAGAATTAATACATCCTGTAAAATTCTACGTTTTTTTTTATTAAGTGATACGTTCGTGTACAGTAGTATAGCATATAATATATGATAGACCTTTGACAATTAGTGTAGACATTTCCTACTTGCAAGGCCGCCAGACCCGCTCTGAGATGCACGTGTAACATACACGACGTACCTGCCAGGTCATACTCCCGTACAAGACAGGAACGTTCTTGTCTCAACTCATGCTATTCATAACCCGTTAGTCATGTAGTAACCTATGTATTTCACCAAATTTATTTATTTAATTTATTTTTGCAGTAGACATGATGAAAGTATAATGATAGTCTCCAGATAGTTCATTAAACCTGTAAGTTAACGTATAACGAAGATAGTCTTATTACCCGTTTAAATTTTATACTAATTTATACACAGTATATAAACCGTAATAAAACTGAACAATAGTTGTATTTTCGGCGTTTTTTATTTATATTGCCGAGTGGTTGGGGAATTTTAGCCAGGGAATATTGTCCATGTCACTTGTGTTTGTGTTAACCAGTGTTAATATTAGATTATTGATATTATCAATTACTATTTTTTTTACTATTGCTAGTTATTATTTCTAGTTATTACTAACACGTATTTCTAGTTATTATTATTATTATTATTATTATTATTATTATTATTATTATTATTATTATTATTATTATTATTATTATTATTATTGGTGGCGGTGGTGGTATATTCTCACGCCCCTCTTATCACCTTGGCAGACTTCCTAATAGTGAAGAAGTTCGATTGGAAGACGTGTGATAATGGCCCCCTACACCACACTGCCCAGTACGAGTTGATGGAGCGGGAAAAGCCTCGTCTGGTCTTGCGGCGAGGCCAAGAATTCACCATTGTCCTCGAGACTAACCAGAAGATGGATGAGGATAAGGATAAAATCTCCCTCGTTTTCTCTGTTGTGGGTAAGAAGAAAATGGGATAGAGGAAGGGTCTCTTACTGACTTTATTTATTCTCTCTCTCTCTCCCTCCCTCCCTCCTATAAGTAGAATTGTCGAGGATTTTTTCAAATCTAATAATTATAAAACTTCACTGTTTACGGTCAGCTGCATCACTATATAAATGTAACGTTATTTTTGTTTATAGTTCTATATATATTATGTACCTCTATTTCCTACATATATGCTGAGTTGGTGTAAATTTATGACTATTTTACTGAATATTTATCTATTTACTTATCTATCTTGTCTGTCTGTATATCTATCGACTAAATTTTGTTCTTGGTCAATGAGAAATATATCTTCAAAGAAAACTGTATTTTAAGGGAGACCATGCAATTTTCCGTTTTCAAGCATTTTGGTACATAATGTAGGTCCTATGTCATTCCAGGCACCATTTCTATTTAATTCTGAGGTCTAAATGTTTTTGTTTTTTTTACAACTCTTGTCTATTGCAGTTACGAAAATGAAAGAAAAAGTGCAGTACTTTATTCACTGATCAATTAAAGACAAGATAGATAGAGGTTAACCAATACCTGTAGTTAGATTTAATGGTCTTCTTTCTTTGTGCAATAATTACTGCATCTTTTTTTCTAGATGCAAAGAATCCTAATTTCGGTAACCAGACTCTTGTGGGCATTGGTATTGGTGTAGAACCTTGCAACGGTTGGTCGGCGAGTGTGGAGGATATAACAGACTGTTCCATCACTCTCAAGGTACTGTACTATAAACTCTAAGGAGGTCTTTCCTGTTATAGACGAGATTTGTTAAGGCCTGCTTACCTTCAGTTAATTCATTAGTTATTGTGTGTATTACTTATTACTTTTATCCTCTTCACCACAGATTAGCTCGTTAGCTGCTTGGGAGGTCGGTAACATTTTTTATGCATTGTCCCGTTTTCCTGAACCCCTTGGCCTTGTTGTGGAAGTGAAGCTTCTCTGCTTAACTGGAGGATGGGGATCCTCTGTCCCTTCCTCCTCTCATCAGTTGACAATTGGAGAGCTTCAATGTCGTCCATGTCCTCCTCATTGTTATCTGAAATGTACCTAGCCTATGCTGACAGGTTAGCAGACTCGTGGCTCAGCTCACGAACTTCTTTACTCGGTGGGGGCCCCTGAGGAGATGACAACTTTCTTTAAGAAATGGGGAGTTGCCATATGCCTGTCTTCTGCTCGGTACCCCCAATCCTAGAGGTGGGTGGAGACAGCTGTGAAAACAGGGAAGAGGCTGGTCTGTGACAACACAGGGACAAATGGTAGCTTTGCTACTGACAAGGTCTCGAGCACTCCTTCAGTACCCCAACATTCCAACTCGGGCGAGAGCTCCAGGTGCCTCAAGCACACGAGGAGGTGGTCCAGTGGTGTGAGGGAACTCCAGGGACCTTACCCATTACCTGGAGCCCAGGTCCAAGTCCAGAACTTATCCAACAAAACCTGGTACAGAACAGACTATTTTGGAATCTCTCCCGCATAGTCCGTATATAGTGAGGCTGGTTGGGAGTGGCTGTCTGTCACTCCAGAATAAGAGGCACCTTCTTGCCATAGTACAGTTTTACCCATCCAGGCCCTTTGCTGTCCTCAATACCTTTGGCACCTCTAGCATTGCAACAGCTCAAGACCTGTGCACTCAGTGACTCTTTAAATGCCCTGGATGGCTGGCAGATTTTTTAATAATTTGTCTTTATTACTATGGTATTTCTTTTCCGGTTTGATAATAAAGTTGTTACTGTAATACAATAGTGAAAATTAATATTTTTGTGTGTGTAGTGCTTGGTAATTAGTGTTGGTCATAGTTGAATGGCTGCTCTTTATCCAAGTATAGAATGATTAAGGTTTAGTTGTTTTGCCTTGCCTCTTCCATTGTTACTTTTTATTATTAGATTGCATAAGGTCATGTTAATTATTATACAATCATGTGGAGGGAACTGTGAGTACAGGAGTTGGGCGTTGCATGGCAGTGGACGGGAGCAGTTGGTGTGCACTGTGTGGACCCCATGGATTCGGTGTGTAACAGTCGATTCATATAAGGATCTTGCAGTAAAGTGACAGCCATCACTATGGTGTTTCCTTCCATCTTTGACCATCTAACAGAAATGTTTTGAGCTACATAAAAATATGCCTGAACTCCATAGATGTAGTTTGCATTACATTCTCTGTTGTTTTGGTCGATCGAGAATCATTTTAGACAATGGTCAATGCAAGATCCCACAGGGCAATATGCATTTACAGTACTATATGATACTATACTGTACTAAAATACTTTTGTGTTACAGGTAAATACATCCAGTAAAGCCATTGTTGGTGAGTGGAAGTTGGAGGTGGATGTTAAATCGGGCGACAAGGTCCACAGTTTCCCCTGCAGTGACACGTTCTTCGTCCTCTTCAATCCCTGGTGTGAAGGTAAAATTAAGTTATTTTTTAGGGTAAAGGTGGAGTGGACAGCTAACACCAGGAGTATTGATTTCCTTCATTTTCTCCACGGATGTTCTTTGGATGATAGTATGAAAGTTATGTAGTTCTTGTACTGTGTAGGTACCAGTACTGTACAGAATATTACACTGGTCTTTTCTAAGTAGCATGAAATTCAAGATTCACTGTTGATAGTTTCAATATTCCCATTACTGTCCAGTACACTAATGTACATGAATTTATATCCTCATGCATGCCTGTCTTCACCTTGTGTACCTGTATAAGCCAACATGGACATAGGAATTCTAAATTTAATATGTAATTGTTTGTGGATAATATTGATTTTAATATTTAATCTTTGGTATACTGTAGATGATTTTAGAACTTGGTGTGTAATCTTCATCAGATGATGCCGTGTACTTGGAGGGTGATGCAGAGAAGAAAGAGTATGTCCTTAATGACTCGGGACTTATCTGGCGAGGAACAACAAAATGCCATAGACCTTGTCCATGGAACTTTGCCCAGTTTGAGGAGCATGTCATGGAGTGTGTGCTGTATGTACTGACATCGGTGTGCAAGATGTCTCCTTCTAATAGAAGTGACCCAGTCAAAGTCACCCGAGCTATATCTGCTGGGGTGAGTTGACTTTATACAACACTTTGCAATATATGATACAGTTTAGAAATGAAGGATATAATGAGTTGCATACTGTTATGGAACTGAATAGATATGGTTAATGACCTTGTGTTTTGAATGTGGAAATATTAAAAAAAAATTGTAGAGAAACTTAATGTAAACTTTAATTTTTATGGTCTGCAGAAACTACAACAGACCTTAGTCTTGGTTGATAGTTGAAATATGTTTCTCTTGCAGGTAAACTCCCCAGATGATGCAGGTGTTCTTGTGGGTAACTGGAGCACTGACTACAGTGGTGGCTGCCCTCCAACCAAGTGGAGGGGTTCTCAACTTATTCTTCAGGAGTACTACAAGACCAAGAAGCCAGTCAAGTATGGACAATGTTGGGTGTTCTCTGGTGTGGTGACAACGGCCTGCAGGGCTCTGGGCATTCCTAGTCGATCCATTACAAACTTCTCCTCTGCCCACGACACTCACAATTCCCTTACCATTGATTACTTCTTTGACGATGAGGGTGAAGTGATTGAACGCCTTAACTCTGATTCTGTTTGGAACTTCCATGTGTGGAATGAGGTGTGGATGACTAGGGAGGACCTAGCACCAGATTACAATGGGTGGCAGGCAATTGATGCTACACCTCAAGAGGAGAGTGATGGTGAGTGTAGTTAATTGTCATTATTTTATGTTATTCTTCCCAGCATAACAGGTGAAGGCTGGTGTGATAAGATTGAACATATACCAAAACTCGTATATCCCAGGTCTGTAGTGTGTTTGTCAGGAAATCCCACTCGTATAACTCCCAACAGTTCAGAACATCTGGGTTTAATGGTCTTCATTCTTTGGCAAGGAGACTCCTCTGAATAGATTTGGCAATAACATTTATCCGACCTCTTCTTAATTTATTAATTTAAATAAACGAGTCATTAGTCACTTCATTCACCCACTCCTGTCGGGCATTACAGCCATATTTCTCCCAATTTATTCATATATGATGGTCTTTATCACAACAGTATTAATTTTATACATTCGTTCTTTACTGCAGGTCAGTATCGCTGTGGACCAGCTTCCCTGGTTGCTATCAAGAAAGGGGAGATCCATCGATCATATGATGTGCCATTTGTCTTTGCCGAAGTTAATGCTGACAAGTTGTTCTGGAAGTACCGTGGATCTTGCCAACCCATGAAACTCCTGGGGAAAAAGACAGACGGGTGAGTTTATAGCCCACACATACTGGTAGTTCTTATTTGATATAGTTCTGTGATTATAATACATAATTGTTTGTTGATGTCACCACATAATGCAGTTGATGACTTTGTTGGTGGTATAATCTCTTTTGATGCGTAATTCTGGAACCTCATTGACACTGATATATGGCAAACCGTAAAAAAAAAAAAAAACCCTGAAGATTGATAGGTACTAATACAGGTATTCATATTATTCTGCTGTGTAAGTGGTCTTTTTTACATTTCCTTTATATTTTCTACTCTTTAATCGTACCAAAATTAATCTACAGCATCGGCCAGTTCCTGAGTACAAAAGCCGTGGGCAGGTACATACGCGATGACGTTACTCACCTCTACAAATATGCCGAAGGTGATATACCAGTACTTTTTTTTCTCGCCTATATCCTGCTCTTTCTCTATTGGTATTCATAATTTTTGTACCGTATGTTCTCAAACTCCATTGCTTAGTATTGTTACCCAAACACCTACGGTATCTGCTTTAAGTTTTGATTATTCTTTCACTTCTTTTTACATTTCACAGTATGGTATTTAGCTCGTGTTGGTTTTTTAATTGATTTTTTACACTGTCATTCTTACCTTTTGATAATTTTGATACAATGAGATTTTAAGATAGGGGTAGGGGATACAGTACAAGATTGAGAGGTCTAACCCACTTCTCCCTTCTGTCACAGAGTCGGAGGAGGAGCGTAATGTGATGCGTGATGCCCTTAGGAGGTGCGAGAATGTCTTTGCCAGGTATTATCTCAACGAGGAAATAGAAGATGTCGAGTTTGATTTCCAAATGAATGATGACATTGTTATTGGTCAACCCTTCACGTAAGTACTGATGCAAGTTCCTGTGTGGTCTAATTATGCTATGTAATGTTCACTGTGTGTTTAGATTCAGCTGTATAAGATTCATTGATCTTTTCAGCCATTTGGTGTTTTTATAATTAGTCTTGCTAATGTACAGTAGCTAAAACAACTATATGTGCATACTTTGTGGGAAACAATGAGACCATGGACGATAAATTTTGGTATATGAGGGCTGTCACTAGTCACACGTAAAATTTCGGAGCATATCGACCCCCACCTGTAATTGTACATATTATCTATGCTAATATCTTTTGACTTATGTGTAGATACATTTCACAAGGTCTTTTTCTTTTTTCTTCAAGAATCCCTAGTGACTACAGTACTATATTTTTGGATGTCCAATAAACAGGAACCTAAAAAAGTACTGTAGGAGTATAGTGATAATTAATATGGTAAGGCTTTATTCCTACCGATTTTTTGGTTCCTGGTTATTACACATCCTAAAATATGGTAATCCTTTCAGGTTCTTGAATAAATAAATGACCCTGTATTAATGGAGCTGGTCTATTGAGTGTTTTAAGAGAAATTTGTTACTTTGGGCAAATATTTTTACTAGTGTTTGGTTGACAGGTCCTCTGTGGTGGTTCACAACAAGAGTGGGAAAGACTTTGATGTGGAAATTCTACTGAGAGCAGACACAGTGATGTATACAGGTGCTGTCAAGGAGATGGTCAAGAAGCACAAACAATACATTACAGTCAAACCATACACAAGTAGGTTACCTCACACATATTGTTCACCTTGCTTCATTTCTCAATTTGGTTTTATTTTTTCTCTAGCTTAATATTTACCAGTTCTGTGATTTGTTTTGTATCCTGTTGTAATTTATATCTGGGAAAGAAGTTTTGAACCTCGGTATGTTAAGGACCAATAAGAATGAATGACGGTACAGTATATAAAGGTAGAATTTGTTTGTCCTGGTTTCTGGCCACTAGGTTTAATTTAAGTCATGAAGTCCTTCTAGACCGCTAAGGGAGGCCTTCTTCCTACAAAATCAAGGTGGATTAATTCTGTATCTTTCTCTTTTAAACCATATTTATGGCAATGTAGTACAGTATACTGTATTACTTTAGCTCAACCTAAATTTTCCGTTTTTCATTGTCATACTGTACACCCTTTAAAGATTTGGATGTAGGTTTGTGAATCAATGTGAAGGTTAAGGATTCATTCTGTATGCAAGTTGAAAATATGAAGGGATATGAAGAAGAGTGTTAAGGTGTTTCTACTGGAAGTCCTTAACCTCTTCTGTCACTTTCTACACTTGTCTTTTACTGTACCACTTTTCTCTGCCATGGTCTTTTTCACGGAGGTTTGTACACCCCTTGAGCCACCCTTCATAGTATTGTAATGGACGAGAAGTCGAGGTGATGTATGTATATGTAAAGTACAATACAGTTTTTTTTTTTTAATTCAAGAACCCAAAATGATTATAAGGTTTTAGGTTGTGCAATGACCAGGAACCTAAAAATCAGTAGGAATATAATCAGATCATATCATAGCAAAGAACATCCATATTCTTCACAATGATTATACTATCCCTACTGATTTTTAGGTTTGTTTTATTGCACATCCTAAAATATGGTACGGTAATCATTTCGGGTTATTGAATTAAAAAAAATATATATCTTGTGTGTCTTAAAGTTAGTTACTGGGAATTAAAATATTTCCTACAATCTTTCTTTGTTTCTTACCTAAGAGGAGACAGTAACGATGGAAGTGAGCTTCACTGAATACTATTGCAAGCTTGCTGATCAGTGTGCCTTCAACCTCTCCTGCCTGGCCAAGGTCAAACAGACAGACTTTGAATACTTTGCTCAGGATGACTTCCGTTGTAGAAAGCCTGACATTAAGATCGAGGTGAGTTTACTATAAAACTTTACCATACCAGTTAGCATTACAAGTTACACAGTATCTCCTAACACCTTATCCTCTTTGCCACTGGTGGATGAAAAATGTGCTTGGATTATATTCATTAACTTTTGGTGTAAATTCCCCGTCTTTAAAGAGGTCTTTGTGGACAGGTTCTTAAATGAAGTTCAATCGAGTTTTCTTCAATAAATAGAATCCGTGTTTTATAAGATTACAGAATATTCTTCATTATTTTTTCCTTCTGATAGTTAGGATATTCTATGTAGCATTTTTCTGTTGAAGTAAAGTAATGCCTTAAAAAGTTATAGGGTATTGGAGTGTATATTTTCTTAGATATAAATTAGGTTACCCCATATTTATGTGAATATGTTCTATTGTGTTTTATTTTAGTTGTGGAATAAAGCGCCACTTTGAATGCACATGTTATGTTCGTTTTGTTTTTTGTTTTTACGGATGGTCCCGAAAATATACAGGTACTGGAAAAAGCAACATCGTTTGTGTCATTGTCTGAGCCTCCCGCATCATATTTCGTTGACATCCACCAAAAATGAACACTGTAACTTCAACATATTTTGGTGTGGTTATATATTGTCTGATGTTGTAAAGTGTTATCATTTGCTTGTGATGTTATTAGGTACAGTATTGATAGCTATTTTCACTTCCTATGGGGTATATTTTTGTGTTATAAGTGGTGGTGTCTGTTTTACCCTATGAATATGTTCAATTTATCTTGTGTCTGATATTTGACAATTTAAGACATTTGATCTACAGCATGAAGGGGAGATGATGGTAAGGAAGGAAACAAAGTGTACAGCATCATTCACCAATCCCCTGCCGATGGCTCTCACCCAAGGACGCTTCATCATACAGGGTGCTGGACTAACCCGGGTGCAATTCATCAAACTGAAGGAGTGAGTTCTGTTGTTCATTCAGTATTTACGTACTCTCTGTACACAATTTCACATCATCCCAAATCATGAGTTTTAAGTTAACTTTATAAATGTGAAAACTGACAATTGCTCCTTCATCAAGTGAGTAAAAATTGGTTTGGGTGGTGCACTTTCTCATCTTGGTCGCCACCTGTCAAGTTCAGAAGTCAACTGTTTCATGCGTATTTATTTCTCGAGTAAATGTCATTATAGAAATAGGGCAAGAGATGAACTGTAAGGGACCTTGAGATCTATTAACTTGGGTAATGGGACACATATGCTTTCCTGCTAATGAACAACACCAGGGACTCTCTTTAATAAATACACAACTTGAAACCGAACTCTACAATGACATCAGAAATTATTAATCTTCTATTTGAAAAATTCAAATGTTATCTTTGGTTTCCAGGAGCATCCCTGTTGGTGGTGAGGCAAAGTGCGAGTTCATGGTGAAGCCGATCATTGGGGGTGAACGCACTCTCACCGTCATGTTTGACTCCCGCCAGCTAGAGGATGTTGATGGGCTCTTGACACTGGAGGTGGCAGAGGTTCCTGTACCTGCCTTGGACTCCAATGGTTCTGATCAACGTGAGTGATACTGTATTACAACTTACCGGTAATAGGTATACTGTACTGCATGCTTATTTGTGAAATGAAAGACATTGATGTTATGTGGAAATTGACTTTTTGTATTTTTTTCTGAATTCTCTTAATGTACGGTAACTTATATTTTTCACTCTTGAAAAATTCCTGTACTATGATGGTTTATTTATAAACTTACAGCAGCCGCAAGTGATGCCGTCCCAAACACTACCACAGAGGAAATCCTGGAAGAAACACTCAGTGAAGAAGCATAAGGATTATAATTAATCTTTAAGAGAAAACAGGATCACTGACATTTTGGAGTTGATTGCATTGAATGTCCTGAAAATGTCTGTTTTGGAGTTATTTCCATTGAATTTCTCAAAAGATCAGTGTATTTCGAGATAAGAAAAGGCAGCATTTGTGGGTAGAGAAAACTGAGGAACACGTGATTAAGCTGAACACTGTGCTTTATTGATTTAGAGGAGGATAGTTATGTAAAAATGCAGTTACTAGTGATGATTTTCGTCCATCCACATGGTAATTTACTATTTTGTACCGAGAAAAATTAGGCTATGTGGTAGACTGTTTTGCATCAATCATTCTCCCGTCTGGTTGACTCCCTAGTTGGTTGGGTTGTACCATATACAAACTTGTACCACTAAATAATCAAGATTTTATGGTACTGTACTTTCATTCAGAAATTATTAAATAGTCTTCATATTTAAAAGAAACTTGTTCTCTGATTTTTGTACAGGTGAACCTAAATGGCAAGTTAGCAGAGGCTAACTATGCAGATAGATTAAACTAGATGCCATAGATTTTATGAATGTCCTCTCTCATCCCACTAGGTCTCATTGATGGTGACAGTGTTCAGAAAAATTATGTGCAAGTGTTGAAAAAAAAATCGCTGATTATTTACACGACAAGATTGTTGAGATATGAATACTCTGTTTATAGAGATTTTTAAGTAAAGATTATTAAATATTTTTTTAAATTTTCAAGGCTGTAGATCTGTTGTGTAACTGTAATTCAAATGCTGTAGTTTGTAGTTTTTCTTGAGAAGTCATGCCGGGATTACCTCTTGGCTGACCCCTCATAATCCTACAGTATACACACACACACACTGGTAAAATAACAAGGCCATTGATTTCAATGTTGTGTGGGATTGGGAGTGACACATGCATACTCATCCCATCGTGACCCACCCAAGTAGTGACCTCGTACAACACACACAGTACTGTATGGAGGATTTGTGTTTTAAGGCTTGTGAACCTTTCCCAGCCTGAGAGTTGGGATTGTACAGTACAGTAATTTGTTTTATTAGGTAAAAGAAGAAAAAAAATCTAACTTCTTCTTGTCCTTTTTATTTCTTCTTTTCCTTTCTCTTGTTAGATAATCAATAAAATAAATTATTCTTTTACCATATGCATATCAAATGACTTTTAATTTGCAATTGTGGAAGGTAATATATAGGAAGAATTTTAAATTGACAAATGAATATATATTAATTAAAAATGGCTATTGTAGAATTTTTATATTACAATTATACCATAATTTAAGGATAGTTTGAAGCTAATTGATTAGATATGCTTTTGTAGTTCATTATATAAACAGCTTTTGTATTATATAAACCAAAGAAAAGACTAGTTACATATACAATCAGGTGGTGGACCCAGGAGAGTTCTCTAGAGGAGGCCAACACCTTGTGAAATGTCCTCTTTGTCCCTGGTAAGCTTAACGAGCAATAGGTGCCTTAGGAGTGTACTCGATGTCTCAATGATGTAATTGGTATAAGGATTGCTGTATCTTTCAGCATTTTAGATTTAATTTTACTCCCTCAAGTATTGTCGTTCTTAATTTAGGGTTGCTGGAAAGAAGAGTACGTACAGTAAATAATGCACAAACATTTTCCTTTTCATTCGTTTACTCAATCTTATTACTGTCAAGATGTTCTATATTATTATTATTTTGTATAGCGTAAATATAAATTGTAATTTGACCCAGTTCATCACAATTCACATGACAAAGTTTTGCTGTGTGGGGGAGGAACACCAGGTTCTTGCCTTGCACTACAGCATTTTAAAATCGATGTTAATTCATGTGTATGGAGTTCTTGTCCATACAAATGTGGTTCACCATTGTATATGTTATGAGATTACTTAGCAATGTATTTATCAATGTAAACCGAATATTCCCTTCTTGGATATCCAGTCAAGGAGGAGGTTTCAGATCATTGATGTATGCAGAGAAGTGCACATCATTGTACTCGTTATACTCGACTTAGGGTATTTCAAATAAATCTTGGATGTTGCAGCAAACACACACCCATTATATCCTCTTGTAGCTTACAGTGAAGAACCCAATGAATTGTGATCGATAGGGAAAAGATTAGGTGAGCTATAATTTTATGTATTTTCCTTGTACCATACTGTACTCCTGTATTGATAATATTTATAAGGACAGAATTGTAGGTGCTTAGAGGTAATACACACTGCTAGTCAGGGGTTTTGTTAAGAGAAGTAGTAGGGTTTTCCCCTAAAGTAGCAGGGACTTCTCTAGAGTTCCTTCCCTGAGAGTTTGATATACTGTACGGGGAAGAATGCAAGGACTAGGGAACTGAACCCCATCGCTGCACTTGTTATTACTACAAAATGGTGTTATATCCTGCATTTTGATATTAATATTTCTTCATGACAATGTTAAAAAAAAATAGACCTGTGTAAACATCCCAGTGTATCTAGCTACAATAACAAAAAAATAATAGTCATAGGTGTTGGCAGCCAGGGTAGAGGAGTGGTCATTTTCTTAAGGTACTGTACAAGGTGACTTGACCTGGGTGATGGCATAAACAAAACCTCGGCTAGTTTTAGAAAAATACCCTCCTCCTCTTTCTTCTTTTGTCTTCTCTCCCCTCTCCTCTCCCCTCCCCCTCTCCTCCCTCCCCTCCTCTCCTCTTCCCTCCCTCCTCCTCTCCTCCTCCCTCCCCCTCCTCCTCTTCCTCCCCTCCTCCTCTCCCTCTCCCTCCTCCCTTTCCCCCTGCCCTCCTCCCCTCCCCTCCTCTCTCTCTCCCCCTCCCCCTCCCCCTCTCCCCCTCCCTCTTCCCCCTCCCTCCCTCCCTCTTCCCTCCCCCCCTTCCCCTTCCCCCTTCCCTTCCTCCTCCCCTTCCCCCTTCCCTCTCCCCCCAACCCCCCTTCTCTCCTCTATTCCATCTACTAATACCCTGTAAAAACGAGAGTTGCTGGCGCGTGATATATACGGTTACAGAGAAGTACATTTCAGTATTGTGTAGGATGTTGACTCTTATGTTTACTTTAGTTTATTGCTCTTAAATAATAAAACTATTGAATTCATTTAGATTCTCCCTTTTAAATTAAGACAGTATTATTTTTTATTGACAATGCTGTGTAAAGACTAAGTTTTAATTTAGACAGATGAATAGTTACAATGGTGTCAGTATATCTTGTTACTGTACTGTAATAGGAGTGCATTATATTACAGTAGTATGTGAATATTAGGTGCAATTTCAGTGATGTCTACATTATGACATGGTTGATCTACAGCTGCTACAACAAGAATTTAAAGTTTGAATAATTTATCTACAGCCAGAAAAAATAAGCAAATTTTATAGTGTCAGTAAAATTAACAGTTTGAGTGTTCTGAAAGTTGTAGCTCTCTTGAAAAGGCACCTCATAAACACATACTGGTGTTTATTTTTTAAGATTCATAATAGTCCTGTGACTGTCAACCTAGAAATCAACCCCATGTTGAAACTTCTGTTCAAGCAATCCAATTTCTATGGCCACTAACAGCCAATTCACTTATCAAGAGTTAAATTCACATCGTTTCACTCGACCGAAGAGGCTGCCAGTGTGCATTAGAACATGTACAGTATTGTTTTACCTTATGTTAGTCTTCATATGGGATTGATCTTTAAATACCATGTACAATTATACACTAATAACAGAACACACCTAAAACAGTTGATGAATCGATTAATAATACAGTACAGTATTTTAATCCCACAGTGTTGAAGTGTTCTAATTGTCACTTTATATACCGGGCTTTTTTATGTATAGTTATATAGAATTACGATGTAGTAGTTAAGTATGAGACCAGGACTTCTCCTAATGTGCTCTTGATAAACCTAATGTGTGTTGTTGTAGGTCCTTGTAGTTGTGTTGTTTAGGTTGTTATCGTCTGTTCCTCTATTTTAACATTGTGACTATTTTCTAATGTAATAAAGTATATACCTTTGTAATTGAACTTTGGATAATACCCTGCCAAGATTTTTATGCTACCAGACACGATCTCTTACCCATGGTAAGGAAGAATCTAAGAAACCTGATAATTTGGACCTGTAGGTAATCACCAATGTAAACTGTCTTGGTTGTTTAGTGACGGAAATCTGAAAATTACTGTTGGAGTTTGTTTTCCATGTTTATCAAGTTTTCTCTCTCGCAGTCTTGATACAACCGATATGAACAGCCTTGCATTTTTTAGTAAGTTCTTGTAAGTTCAATGACTAGTTCTAACACTAGTCTGTATTAAATTGCCAAAAGTCATGCAGAATCATGTACTTTGCTGCTACAGTTGCTAACTCCACTTACCTACACCAAGGAATGTGCCAACTACCTCGGATTGGTGAGGCTTCCAATGATGTGACCTTGAACTTTTGTAAGATCCTTAAACCACGGAAACTCTTAAATGTCCTGATCAATATACTGTACACGCGAGTGACGTCAAGAATGAATACTGGCTGTTTTCATTCTCGAGTTATGCTGCCGACAGTGTATTAAACCTAAATATATAGACCACCTGACGTATACTCTTGGGACCACGCCGGAGTGAGTGGTTAATAGTGCCACTGTATGTCCGACCGTAATAGATATGCAGGGGCGGATCCAGGAGTATCAAAAAGGGGGGGGGGGTGCATGGCGAGCGCAGCTACCCCAACTAGCTGCGGGGGATTTAAGGGGAGCTGTAAGGCCCACCCCACCCCCAGATTCTTTTTCAAATATGACTAATAAAGTGGGCTTTTTGAAGGCATCATATGCACTTGATATTAGGAGATATTCTGAGGTCAATAGTAACTACTTTTTTATATACAAAAGTACATGAGTACAATACTGCATTAGAGAAAAGTATCGGAATTTTCTGATGAAAAGGGGGTCCGGAGCCCCAGGACTCCCCCTTGGATCCGCCATTGATTTACACATTTATTAAAGATGCTTAAAGAAGAAATCGACGATGAAGTTAATAAATTTACCTGCATATATCTCAGCCAAGAAAAGTTCGTTAAACGGTATACGGAAGATTCACCAGAAATCTTATGTCCTCACTAGTACAGTATGCACCGGTGGCGTGCAAGTTGCACCTGTCCGTCTGTCTGTCATGGTCTATATTCAAGTTTTTGTTAGAAGGATTACGAGACGTATAAGCATAGGGGTAATTGAATATTGTATGCTTCTCTGCATACATCCTTAATAAAAAAAATAAGTTTACTTGAAAATTGCTCAAGTAGCGGAGCGGTGTTTGTTTCAGAAACAAAACATCTTTAGACGACATGCATTCGTAACTGGAGTAGTTCCTCCCAACATCACCTTTAGAATAGAAAACGGGTCCACCTGGCGCAGGCGGAACACTGACTGAGCTGTATAACTCGGCCAATCGTCTGATAACTTCTCTGGCGGGTGTATGACTTAACCACCTAGTTTGGTCAAAAGTCTTAAAATAAATAAACATTGTATAAGGTAACATGTAAAATAAAGTATAAGAGATGAATAAGTACGATTACATTGAGACTTCAAAAGTTCATATGGATGCAGTGGATAAAGTTGATTAGTACGACAACTTCAATGAGGAAGAAGTAAAGGCAGCATCTCACCATAATCAAAACAGTTGAGATCAGAATTCGGTGTGAGTGAGACGTAAAATATTTTCCCTGCCAAGACAATGAGATCTGTCAGATTGAACTGATTATCATACTTTCTTTCGAGTATCGCCGGCTTAATTTCGCATAAATCGACCAAGATGAGTCGCAATAGTACAGGACCGTCGTTAAAGAAGAAATTTGTGGGTCTAATTCGGCAGATCTCGCAGCCTGGTGGGTCAGGGGGTCTTGGCGGCGACCAACAACAAACGACCATCCCTCGACCTGACACCTTCATTCATAAATATTTACAAGGGTGAGTAGTAATTAAACAGCTACTACAACGTGTTCATTCAAAAACACCTGCAGGGGGATATGGTAAACAAACACTGGCTGTGTACCTGTGTTGTGAGCGCACTCGTGGGAGGAATGGTTGGAAGTGGGCATGTGTGTGTGTGTGTGGCATTTAAGTGGGTGATCCTATACCTGTATTTTGAGTAAGACTGTTGTGGGGTGAAGTGGTTCTAAGTGGGTGTGTGTTGACTCCAAGTGGGGTGTTTTGTACCTGTGAGTGCAGGCAGAAGTAATTCTAAACGGGTGTATGTGGAGGTGGGTGTGTACTACCTGAAGGAGTAAAACTGGTTCACTGTACCACACCTTCTCTGCCCTCCTGTACCGAGGTTCTGAGACCTGTTGTACCGTCTCTCAGAATTAAAAAAAAATGTTGCCTGTCCTCTGTTCTATAGTGTGTTGGTCTTTTGCAGCGCCCCCGCAGGCTGGTTACGACACCACGCCCACATTGTTAACTTGTTTATATTCTGGTTTTGACATGTACCGTCGTCAGCTGTGCCACTGTACCACACCCATCTTACGGCCATGCTATGCATCCGACCCGACATATACTTAATAGCTCAAAGATTACAGTTACTGTACCTGAATTGGCGTACAGTACCTGCTGTAGCCACTCCACCTTCCTTATGTAGACTGTAATTTACATGATGTTACCGTGATACAGTATTCCGCGAACTGTGCTTTGATTATCACAGTAACCTTAATGATTTTTAGTGTATTCTTTAGTACGGCATTCAACTAGATAATCTATTTATAGACACAAGGTAAATCAGCGAGAATTACCCTATTTAATAAAAAGTAGGGCTCGCGGGTATATTTTTTCCCACGGGGATGACACCTAAAATGTTTTATAATGTATAGAATGCAAATAAATTGGAGAAGCCGGGTGAAAATGTTGAAAAATCATTGAAGGACACCAGCAGAACCAACCCGACCTAACCTGACCTAACCATCATTACACAAGGGTCATCAACGTGAAGTATTAACTCAGATTCGCTTGGATTTACTTTCTATGCATTGAAATAACAAACGTTTCAGTGAGTCTTTGGAAATCCATTCTCTGGCAGTTGTTTGATCATAAGGAACATATTTTCGCATCAAACTTGTTTATCACGACAGACCATGGCAACGTTACTGTTATTACGAAGCCAAGAAACAAATGGTGTAGTAGTGACTGGGTGTTTATCATAATTTATTTACAGTAAATTTGTTTTAATTTATTGGTTTAAATGGAACACTGAAGAGTAACACGCCACCTTATTTTACCCGATGATTGAACAGCCTATGGGTAACTGGGGAGGGGACGGATAGGTTCGCATTAGGATGGTTAATCTCAACGTGAAATAAGCTTAAATTGAGAAAGACAAGAGCCGTGTTTTTCAGGTTGTTGTGGTCGTGTAATATTTACTAACCATTATCATATTTTATCCTGAATTTCAGTTAGGTTATTGTTTATCTTAGTATATTAGACACGATGGCAAACACTTCTTGAAACAATAACAAAAGCTATAGATAGTAACAACAGACTGAAAATACCATGGAATTCTGACGTTGTTGTAGTGAAAAGTTTTGTTGGAAAGAGCAAATATATGGTTGCTATTTCGGGCCAGGTTCGATTTCTGTTTCCTATACCACTAGGTTTACGTAGTGTTGTTCCACAGTGTGATAAATACAGGAAATACAAATTGAATTATATAAATGTATTAAGCGTACTTGGTATTCTAATATTGTATATGGCTCCGAGGAAAAGTTATTATGTTAAAATCTCCATGGATGGGATCAGTAGAGAGAGTCAGTTATATGCTAAGTCACGACCAAACTGAAGATTCGCTCCCCAGCTTATTTCTCACCTGAGGAGTAAAACACCCTTACGCTACCTGGTCAGTTAGCTTAAATAATGGTCGGGTAGATTAGTTTAAGGGTGGTTAATCGTAAGATGAAATAAGGAGTTGGGGGAGGAGCTAATAAGCGCGTAATCCGAAAACCCATTAGTGAGGTTAATGTGTCTTGAGTACTACTAATACTCTATTCTAGAGAGGTGGGAGGAAATAGTGTAGCGATAGTAAAAGTGAGGGATTTTTAGTGTCAGTTTCTCCCCATCTGGCCCGAATTTTGCTTTAAATTCTCATAAAAGAGACAATAGCGACTGATTGAAGAGATAATTTTCTTCAACCAACCAGCTTTTGCAGCCAAGATTTTAGAGAGAGAGAGGGAGAAAGCCTGTCAGCCAAGGTTTAAGTCTGAATTCCCATAAAGGAGACAATATAGACTGATTGAAGGTTGGTGATCATTTTCCAGCATCACGGGGGAGGGGGGATGCGACGTGACTTAAAAACAGATAGCCTAGTCTTCCCCTCCCTTCCGACACACTTTTAAATCTAACTTTGTACCGTCTAAAAAGTATTCAGTCTCCTCTCGGTACATTGGGAATACAGCCAAGAAGGTTAATGGTAGCCAATGAACTGTCACTAGCTCATCTAGTTCTTATGCTTAGTCAAGAGGAAATTGAATGTTGCTCAGCTCACACAGAACGCACCTGCCTGCATCGTTGTAAGCACATGTTCTGGAAATTCTAGAAGTGAGAGTTGATTCTGATGATTTGTATTGTAAAATTTTAGGTCTAAACGAGTGAATGACTTTTTTGGTGTTTGTTATCAGTCCAGTGAAAGCTTAGGCAGTTGAGATGAAAATTGTGAAACCTGTATCTGGCAACACTTTGTTTTAGCAGGTGCAATTTTTTTTGGCGTGTGAAACATCTCGCTTATTTTTTTCTTTGCTTTGGCAATAGCTTTACTGTCTTGTATATATATTATTCTTAGTTCACTGAGCTCTTATTTGCTTAGTCTTTTATTGTAAGTCTTCTGAGACGTTTTAACCATGGTAAATAAGATCAACGGCGAAAAAACAAACACTGTGTTAAGTTGTGAATTACAGACAGTGGCTTCTTATATTTCATATTCTATTTTTAACCCATTATATTACATATTACTGTTTTTATTTACTGTAGTTTGATACAGCATGTGTTATGGGAGAGCAGAAGTTTAACATCACGCCGACGAAATTAGTATTTGAAGTCGACTGGAGGGAAGTGTACTGCCACGGACACCATGGAATATAAGTTTAGTTTTGTGTTTAAAGAACCAGTCAAAACATCACGTACAGAGGAACGAACAAAAAAATTTAACCACTGTTGAAACATGTTACTGGAAGACTTTTGTACTTGTAGGTGATTTATTTTCTTCTCGCTATGTTTATGGAAGAAAACACACCTGTTTGATACAGTGGGTAAGTTGTGGAGGATGTTAATTGTGTATACTTTTTTGAGAGATTTAGTTTTGTAGCAGGATGATTGCATTACTCGGTGTTCATAACTAGATGAAGTAGTGTTTCGGAACATTTCGGCTCATACAGGCTAAGGCGACACACGAAGGAAAATGCGCATTACTCTGGCAAAGCGCTAAAAATATAAATGTGTAACAGCCATGTGAGTTACGGGGCTCCTCTGTGCGAGGTCTTGGGTTCGATTCCACTCTTGGTTTTAGGTTGTTTATTCATCATCCACTCTGGCTAGGCTAATGGGTTTTGGTGCTTGTGACTTACAGGGTTTTGTTTATACCAGAAGGAAACCTTGAAATGTATTAAGTTTACTCAAGTGTTTTAACACACACACAATATATATATATATATATATATATATATATATATATATATATATATATATATATATATATATATATATATATATATATATGCGAATCTCTTGCGACTATAAACAAATATAGGTTGTGTTGTGTATATTTTGCTGTTTGATCTCAATAGACCACTTGGACGAGGATCAACAGGAGAGAGTTACAAGTGGAGCACTCGAGCACCAGGCTACTGTGACACTACACCTGCCTCTGTCCCCCCCCCCCTCCCCTCCTTCACGCCTCTCCCTTCCTGTCTCCGCACTCCACACATCCTTCCTCCACACTCATCCCCTGCCCCTCCTCTTCCCTGCTTCTCTCTTCCACACTTCCCTCTCTCACACCTCCCCTCCCCACCTCCCATCTACCTGGTATTTCTGCCTCTTCATAGCCGCACCTCAATTTCCTGCTCCCCACCTGTGTCTGCCTGCGACAATTCTCTCTTTTTTTCCAGACGTCTGTGGTCAACGGGGGATTAAGAGGAGGGAGGGGGAGCACCCGGCGAAGGCTAGGCCCCCTTCTCCCTTTTGAACGAATATTCTTTAATAAATTTCCCATGATTTTTAAATTCCCAGTGACTCAGTTGTTTATATCTATTGAAGGCTGGTTGTGAGGAAGTAAGTGTATACCCAGAGTAAATAAATATACCAGTGAGACACCCTTTCCTCCCCGACGCCCCATCAGTGTGAAAACTTTTGGATACGCCCTTGGTGGTCTTGGCTCTACACCACCCCCCTGCACTCGAGTTTGTACCCACACATGTGTCTCTGCGTCGGGCTTATCTTGTGTGTCTGTTTGGATTCATTCACAACTCAAAATTTGTTTCATGTAATCACTTACTGTGTCTCTATCATAGTAGGGATGGTTTAATCAGTTATTTTTGTGGCGAAAAATCGAACGAGTTAAGCCAGATTTCTGAAATGTGTGTGAGAGGGAGAGACAGTTACCCAGGGTATCTCACATGGTTGTCAGAAAGATGTCTAACCTCAAACCACATCATCATATTTCTCGCTATGAAACCTGGCAACACGCGTCCCCCCGGCAATGCTCAGAGCAATGTTGCAGCTTCGACCCTAAAAACAAACATTGCTATACCGATGGGTGAAAATTACATTGTTTTTATTTCGTCAGATTTGCTTATCCAATGTCTTCGGTGTATCTCCCGTTTTGTATTTTAGCTTCGTGTTTTTTTTGTTTTTATATTGTATGACATTAATTTGGCCCTTATTTTTTTTCTCGTTCTTATTATGCGACTCTAGTGTGTGTGTGTGTGTGTGTG